AGACTGGACTGAATTTATTTTTTGTGTGCTTTTTTATAAAATATTAATACACTAAAGGAAATCTTGCAGATGTGATTGTAATGTACTATGTAACTTATTTACTTAATATCCTCTATATATCTAAAAAACCTTTTATTAAATGAGGTTAAAAAAATAATCTCTTACCTAAGTTTCTCGATGGTACGAGGGAGTGGCTGGGGGCTTGTGCAGGCTGTGATGCACCGGAGGCTGTCCCGAGTTCTTTGGTTGCTCTGCTCTCTCTTTGTACTCACCTGGGTTTCCTACAGCAGCCCCAGAGGCTGTTTGTCACCTTCCCCCGAGGCACAAGCCTGCAATATGTGTTATTTCTTACATCCAAGAAAATAACTGGCACCTGTGGCTGTAGGAGACCAGGGAAATCTGCAGCTCCACTGCTTTACAGAAGGGGGATGTGTGTCCCCCTCCAAGCCAAGCACCTTTGCAGAAAGACAGAAACAACCTTGACACTGTGCTAGGAATTCCTGGGGAATAGTTCTAGGTCTGCTGTGCTATAAATAAGGCCGGTGGGATTCTGACACTACCTGAAACAACTACAAAGACCATGGGCAAGGCAAAGACATCATGGAGTAACTTAGTACCTGATAGGCTTGCATCACATGTGAATTCTTCGATGGCTTCAGTTGTAGATCATATTGTATCACACTTTCAGTGACAAAGTTTGAAAAAACTTTTACTAAATACTGTCTTAAAGGCACTTACTTGTTACCTGAATCGAGGGGGGGGATATTTAACAGGTTTTGTTACACAGTATGTATTTTGTTTCTTTTGGCACCAGTTGGATACCTTGCTGTGGATTTTAAATACGCTTGCATCTATCCTCAAAACATCTTCCTTCTGTTTTGGTACTTTGCCTTTTAGTTAACTGGGCTACACAGGTGTTCTCACACCTGTGGGTATGATGTCTTTAAAAGCTACAAATGCTACATAAAGCAGATGGCAGAAATGTGCCAGTGCCTGACTGGACTCCTGTGAGATTGCACTTAGGATCTAAGGCAGCACACCTGTTAATTTATGCTGACCTTTTAATTTCAATATTTTTGGCAAAGATGGCAGGAGAAAGACTCAGCCCAAAACATGAAAACACTAATTTTTTCAGCTCAGTATAGAAGTCTTTGCTTTAGTTTAATCCTGTGCCTGTGGCAGTTGATCAGCAATGACATTTGGAGAAAAAATTATTTTGCTTGGTGTGTGAAGAAATAGGGAACACTGAAGCCTTCATTTGAGATAACAGACCAGGACTTTAAGGCTTTAAGTCATGCATTTGCATCCCTGTCAAAGCCAGCTGACAAAAATGCTGAAGTTTAGTACTTGGCACTAAATCTGAGGCTGTGCAAACAAACCTTGGACAATCAAAAACCCCACACATTTGGACCAATTTGGGTTCTCTCTTTTTTTAACTGCTGGATCTAAGTCCAAGCTTCTGGAAGTTACTTCAGCTACTGAAAGGAACCTAATAAAGCATTTTAGTGACTAGTAAGCTTTGAGTTAGTGGTACTGTGAGGAGTTCGGCAGTAACTCCCTATACGCTTTCTAAACAGCATTACAACCATCACGGTAGGATGCTGCTCTTGTCATTATTGAGACCAACTGCTGTGGACTGTGGGGTAGGAAGAATTTTCTTTATACAGAGTTTTGAAATTACACTTCAGTGACATGGTCTACTCAAGGCTGAAGTTTCTATTAGAGAAGTCTTTGAATCAGTTAGCCTTTCCCTGTCTGGGTTTAATGGAACTGATTGTATATTATTGTTAATAGAATTTAAATTCAAAGTGAATTTTGTCGTGAAGAAACCAGCTATTTTTTCTAACTTACCTGGATATTTTTCCACATACAGCAGTAGTAGACTTTTCTCTTAGGACCCAAGAACAAATTCTGACAACCAATGTCTTAAAAGATTAAAAAATATTTATGTATCAGATGACAACAATCACAATATATCAGCATTTTTAAAGCCTGAAGTTATTTTCTATTCTAAAATATAGAGGCAATAAGGAACAGCATTTACATGCTATCATACTCTAAATACATTGCTTCCTGAGCAGCCAGGAACGTTTCATGAAAATGAAATTTAATTTCCAAATACTCTTCACAAGCTGAACTATTTCATTACACATCAGCCAAAGACATTTGTATAAAATAAGGTTATATTATTTTTGAACAACTTTCACAGAATAACATTTATAAATATAGGCCTAAATAATTTAAACACAGCAAATTTAACAGCTTCTCATGCTACAAAATTACTGTATACAAAAGATTGCCAAAGGGGATGTTAAAAGTGCTCTCTTGCTTGGAAGTTTTTCTAGATGAGCCTACTTCTAGTGTAACCTGAGTCATCTGCTGGTTCTCAGGTCTCTTCTGTCATTTTCCCATCAGTTCTCAATAATCACTGCATACATCAATCAGCTCTTTGAAGACAGGTGAGTGTGCCAACAGGCAAGCAAAAAACCTAGCTAGTTTCTACCACTAATTTAATTTTAGGATATTTCTCTAAGGAATAAAGTGGATGCTAGTCCTCTGTAACTTCACTGGGAAAGGCAGAATTCCACATGGCTTGCACATTTTATATGGGTGCTCCATTCATTCATGAATAATAGCGTGCTTACTGCTTCGCTGGATGTGGTGTGATAGGGAACAGCAGGTGCACAAGTGAAAGCCAGGCCTTCCAGCATCTCACTCTAATGTTCCTGTGGGGGCACAGGCCAAGGTGTCACTGTCCCCTTATACATAGCATTGTGTAGCACCACCAATATGCAAACCAGCTGTTTTAATTCTACCACCTCTCTATGACTTCCATCACATCCAGTGCCTAATTTTAAAGTGCAAATTAAAAAATTTAGGAAAATTTTGGAGGAGAAAAAGTTTGGGGAGGTTGTTTGGTTCTTGAGAGTAATCATGACTCATCAGACAAAGCAAGGTAAAGTGAAGATACCAGCTTTGAGACAAAGCATCTCCTGACAAAGAAAAGCCACAGCCAATTCTACTCTTACTGTATTGTTTCAATGAGACTGACAGTTTTTATCAGAAGGGTTTTTAATTATATTCTAAGACTTGATGCTCCCTTTCTTCAATAATGATTTTTTTTCCCCTTTTTTGTTGGTATTTATAATGCAGCCCCCAAAGAAAAGCGCTAGAGAATTTGTGCCATTTCATCTGTGGAAAGCACCAATGCCAGTGGGCCACACAATCCACCCAGCTCTACCACCACCTACAATAATTTTGGACTGATTACTGTAGATGTAGCTTCTACTCATCACTTTCAAGAGCCAGGAACTGCTCTTATCCCTCACAGCTTGTCAATGGATCTGTGTTTCATTTCAATCATTACAACATAGTCAGAACAGTAAGTTTCTATTCTGCTCTCAGAATGCCCTGATATAGCCAAAGTGTAGAGCAAGTGCTGTATCTAACATAACCTTCAGAAATGCACAGACTTAGGCCATATTTAAAGAATCAACCAGCAGGATTACTTGGTATTGGACTGTGCTCGTCACTCCCTTTTCCTCCTGTCACAAGCATGTGTGGAGCTAACCCAGCCATACACACTACTTGCAGCTGTGCTGGGAGAGACCAGGTCCACAGCTGCAACCACTTTGTGGCCAAGCACTAGGAGAAGAGCACCATGTGGTCAATATCTCCAAACACAGAGATGAATCTGGCATTTCTGCTTGTTGGGAACACTCAGAAGGCAAATTTTGAGTCAGTCAAGCTCTGGCTCGCGTGAGCCACACTGACTACAGTGGTCAAGGGCACAGCCAATCTCCTGTGGGCCACCCCAGCAGATGGGGCCAGCAGGGCACGTGTGTGCCATGGGCTCTGTACTGCCAAAGCACACCCACCTTGCCAAGAGTGGTTGACTGCAAGTGAACAGAATGGCTTGGCTTCAAAAGACATGTGAAATGACACTCCTCCATGGTGCTTCTTGGTCATTGCTGCCTTTACTCATGATAAAGCTAGGGGAATACTTCTAAAGAAATAACAAACAAAAATGTAATTGTCTAGACTCAGTGAACTAGCTAACTAAGAAAGTAGTTTCTAGTAAAGAGAACAGCTGCCTGGAAATAGTTTGTGCTGAGTGAAGAACGTCCAGAGTTTTTGACATTGTGCTCATGACCTTACTTTTAGTAATGGATCCAAACCAAACTCAAACCTCTTCAGCAAATGCCAATTTAAATCAGAATGCTTTAGAATTCCTCCAATAATCACAGATTAAGTAGCAATATATTGAAACAAAACTGTGATTGTCTTGTAATTTACTTCACAGTGTTCACTTAGAAACTGATTCAGAGAATTGCCTACAACAATTATACTTGGAGCTTGAGATCTGTACCACTGTTGCCTGGACCAATTCTACCATTTCATCTCTGAACTTGTCCTCCAAGATTTCTCCACACTCCTGCCACACCTTCACGAACAAACAACTAAGAGTGGCATTCTGACCCTGTCCCTCCTATGCCTGGGTTGGAACCAGCAGATATACGTGTTGTCACTTCAATTTAAAAAAAAAGATGGTACCACAAATTGGAAGAAAAGCTTGTTAAAAAAACAAAAAAGAACTGCAGAAAAATCTACTCAGGTGATTCCATCTATTCTTTAAAAAGAAGAATTAAAACTGCACTATTGGCATCCCACAGTGCAATCAGGTATGTCTTCATCATTGTTTAATGCTTTTCACTAGAAATAGCCACATAAGGGGGCTTCACTAAAACTGGTTACCCTGCAATATAGCACATTCAGTACCTCTTCAATACTTTTTTTACCAATCTCTCTTCTCTTCTCTTCTCTTCTCTTCTCTTCTCTTCTCTTCTCTTCTCTTCTCTTCTCTTCTCTTCTCTTCTCTTCTCTTCTCTTCTCTTCTCTNCTTCTCTTCTCTTCTCTTCTCTTCTCTTCTCTTCTCTTCTCTTCTCTTCTCTTCTCTTCTCTTCTCTTCTCTTCTCTTCTCTTCTCTTCTCTTCTTCATCCCCACTAACTACATCATCCCCACTACTTTCTCTCACTGCTTATACCTGTGCTTTCACAAAAAGTTAGTATCCCCAAAATCAAAATTTTCTGTCCTCGAGCCCAGGTCTTCTGTTTGATGTTAGTTTCTCTGTTACTATCAGCCTCCTTAGTTACAGGAAGATTCCAGAGCTGAGAAGGATTATGTCCACCAGTGACCCAATCCAAAGCCAGACAAGAGCTGTAAGCTAATAGGCCACATATTCCAATCTAATATAATGTCTTAGTAAGAGATAAAACCCAAAGTTAGCAGGTATTTTAGTCTTACAGAAACCATGCAATGAATTCCCACTGCCTCTTAAAAATAAATAAATATATAAGTTAGACATGGCCTTCTAAGCAATGCAGTTGAGTTCCAATGTGAGAAGCCCATTTCAAGACTTAAGGCCAGGAACAAGCACTCATCAGACCAGTATGTTTTTTGTGCGTATGTCTGCAACCACTGGGCCTGTTTGGCATAATACTTCATGGAATGAACAGGCAAAATCACATATTAAAAATATTGAGAAAGTCCCATGACAAAATGAAACACAACAAAGCTCATCAGGTGTCTCTAAACCACAACATTGTTCTTCTGGCCTCAGACTTTCCAATTCAATATTGGCCAGCAGCACCAATAACCCAAGAGTGAACAAAAAGCACCACTAATCAGGAATTAAAAATAGCTATGTATCAATTTAAATAAAAATCTCTTGCTAGCCAAACAGCAGGTAAACTCAGCTCCACTAGTCTCTACAGAAGGTGTCATAAGCTTGACAAAACCAGTGGGAGCAATTTTTGGTAACTAACTCTTTGGGTGAGAGACTGTGGAGAGATAAGCTGGTCTTTTAAAAACTGCCCAAAGATTTCCTTCAAAACAAATACTTTTATAAAAGTTTATGTGCAAAGCTATCTGGAGATACTTTAATAATTTAATACGCAATAAGAAAGTGTCATCAGTTTCCTCCTTCTGCTCCTTCTGCTCCTTCTGCTTCTTCTGCTCCTTCTGCTCCTTCCGCTCCTTCTTCCTCTTCTCCTTTAACAACTAAGGTACCTAGGAGGAAAAAAATAGGAAAAGAAGAAGAGGAAGACATAGTTAATTATGATCTACCTGCAATTATGATCTTATCTGAATGATGAATTATCTGTCCTTTTGGAAAGAGTCAGGAGTTGTATTTCCTGCCTGTTTCTAACCAACATCAACTTCCACATACCTCAACTGGTCTTAACTAGAAAAGTCTTCAACTTATGAGCTCCTCTGTTGGATGTTTTTCCAACCTCTTGGGTAACAGGGAACAAAAAGGTACTAAATTATGTTCTGCAAAGATCAGCCTCACTTGGTCTCTGGGAGATGCACCAAGTCAGTTCAACTGCTAACAACCAATCAGCACATCACCCTTCTCTTGTGGGGCCCCTATTTTGTGCTGCCTTTTCCTGACATATGTGCCCAAGTTTTAGTGTGGTTAGTAAGTCTAACCTTATTCTACCAAGGGCACTTTTTGCCCACAACTGTGTGCCCTTTTCTTTTTTGTTTTGGTGTTTTACATTCAAAACTTCTCCTATTACAAAGCAAATGGACAACTGCAGGCCATCGTTCCTAGCAGTGCAAATCTCTCATCAGGTTTCCACTTTCTAATAATTTTTTTTTACTGTAGTTGATCTGGTTTTAGATAGAGTGGTAATAGACTTCCCATCCACCACCCCCTGTAGTGAAGCTGTCACCTTTTGTTGGCATGCTTCCACTCTTCCCTTCCCTGCTGTTATTCTGACTCTGTGCTAGTGTAACCACTCCTGCTCTCCCCTTCATTGCTTTAATAAACAGGGGATAATAGTGAACAGCTAACATCTCCATTTACAGGAATTAACATGTTTTAAAGCAGATTTCAAAATTATCTAATTTTTAGTAACTAAAGGGTTGAATATCTTTTCATACCAGTGTCTTAAATAGGAGAGGACAGCTCACAAATTGAGGCTTATTGCATATTCAGGCATTTAGGAAATTTGCATGCAGTTTTGAAAATTTGCCCTTGCATCAAAAGCAAGCCAGAATATATCCCTGTCTATCTCCATTCTCTCATGTCACCTCTTTTGTTGGGAAAACTAATTCAACTTGGCAGATGAAAGCCTTGTTAACTTATTTAATGCTAAATCTTTCCATTCCCTATTAGGTATTTGATAAAACTACTTGGGTAACTATGGAATAATGCCCAACTGTAGGTTGCAAGACCACTTGGATTTAGCACTCCAAAATCCATCAAACATTGTGGCCAGGATCTCAGTAACTACTTCCTCTTCAGTGAATAACTCTGAAGAGGAGGGAGGAATATTAATTTAATGGGCACACAAATGAATCTCTGAGGTTATGTTTAATTTCCCGTGGTTGTCTTTATATTAAGCTTTTAACTCAACCCAACTGCCCCATGCCCCAAACTCACCATCCAGCTTTTTCAGGTTGGGTACCCGTTTGGTTGCTTCTTCAATCCAACTGCTCTGATCAGCAGCAAATTTCTCTTGTAGTGGATTGCCTACAAACACCAGCTCCTCTAGTACTGGCAGCTCTGCCAGTCTCACAAACTCTGCTGCAACCACAAAGGTGAAAACACTAACCAGATTGTGGAACATGGAAAGTACAGCTGCACCACACATTCCTTTCACACTCAGTGCAAACATAAAGAGCATGGGATACAACAGGAGAGGGACTGCTTGGGCTCTAACTGGTGTCAGGTTAAAGAACAGCGATGTGCTTTAAGAGAGTTTGGAGAAAGATGATTCAAAGCATGAACTTAATTGGACTTAGAAGTTAAATTCAGTATTCTAACTATTTTTATTCTCTTGCATGAGTGGGTGTTTAGGGATTTTGCACATGTCTGCAGGCTTGTCAGTTACAATCAAAGCTCCATGAGATACTCCATGAGTTCTTGTGAGCACTATTTTTCACTTGGTGACTTAACTCATGCATTCACCACACTACAGAAGTCTCTACAGAATAGAGATGTTTGGCTTACCCCAGTCTTTCACCAAATTATTTGACATATAAAGAACCTTCAGTTTCTTCATTACACGGATACCCCTCAGTTTCTCAATTAAGTTGTATGAGATCCACAGTTCCTCTAAAGTTTCAGCAACTGCCTCCTGGAAAATGACAGAACTACTCAGATAAGCGGAAGTACATCTTCCTTATTATTCATACTCTTTCTTCAACTTCTACAGGTGAAGAATCACCTTCTCCCATGTGAGAAAATACTAAGGTATATTGGTCCTCATTTCCTTTTAAGCAGGTCCCTAATTATTAGGCATTGCAAATGCTCATGGGAATCAAAAGGCAAAGTTATATATGCAAATATATGTAAGAAGGACATAAATTGCTATACTGGAATGAAACAAGATGTAGCTGGCTGCAGTAATTCTTAAAGCATAGGGGCAGAGGACACTAATCTGCCTACTTGTGCACTGCAAGCATGTGTGAAGAGAATTCAATTCAACAACTGCTTTGGAAGGCATGTTATACAGTGTGAGAGCATTATTCCTTCTGGTATATTCTGGTATATTTGTATCTGCTGGCCAGAAATCCCATTCCTAATTCTCTCAAAAGAGAGGTTTTTTTAAACCAGTCATTACACACTAACTCTGCCTTTCACACTTAAGAGATGCCATCTCTGAAGGTCAGAACATCTCTGAGTCGAAACCTTATCTCTTGAGAAAGAAAATAATTTATATATTCATTTTAAAAATACTGATTGAAAAAAGTGTTATTCTGGCCTGAATTCAAATGTAACAAAATTGATCAATTTTTTTCCTCAATTAATTTTCCCCTACTAGGTAGACTCAGTCCTGCCACCATCAACTCTAAAGCCATACCGTTCCAGGTGCCAGTTAACATACAAGGGGCTGACTTTGAGGAAGTCTGTTTTTACAGGACTGCCAATATTTGTATTAAAGAAGCACAGCCTCAGTATCTTCAGGTACAAAATTCTGCATGCAGAAAGTCTGCAGGAATTATATTCATCTAAAGCCAGCGGAATTTAAATGGCTTTACAGATATACAGCAATTTTCAAATATAAGTTCTGATTATCTTTAATAAAGATAAGAAAATCTCTCTTTCTAAAATTTTTAAGTGTAGTAAATTAAGGTAGAAAAATTTCCAAATATAAAGAGAATTTGAACCAAAAAAAGTAAACAACTATCTGAAAATTCAGAAGTAAGAGGGTGAACAGATGACAGCAAAAGGAGAATATAAAAGATTAGTGCCTAACCTTTTAATTCACTTAATTTTATTGAATTCAGCAAAGACTTGTATGACCACAGGGAAATAACCTCATATTCTATTTTGTTAGTGAAATATTGATACTAAAAAGCACATACCAATCCATTCAAGTTCTTTATGTTATTTCTTCCCAAAGACAGAATCCTCAAGTTTTCTGTAATAAATTAAAAAAAAAAAATCTTGTTAATAAACAGGGTTTCTTTAAAATAAGAAGATGCTGTAAGTCAGGTAAAATACCATATTCTATTTACAAATTGCACTCTGAACAGGCTGCCTTAAGAAAGAACAACCTAACAGAAACAAAACCTTCTGACCTAAACGATTACAAAGCTGCTAGTGTGTAGGTTACCTAGTTGAAATTCAGTTTTGATAAAAACTGAACAAAAAACTATTATTTAACCTTGCACCTGAATTCTGACTGCTGACTTGCTTCTTTTGGTCTTACATAATTCATATCACTTATTCTCTAGGCAAAAGTGGTTCTGATCTTATTTTAAGGTATCAGATTTGGTTTCTATACTAGAGGCAGCATATAAAGCTGCCTTATAGATGCCTGATGAGAGACATTCAGCTTAGGTCTAGTTTGTCTGGCTTTAGCATCAAATACTTGGTATAGACTGGATGTTTTGAATCTACATTAATATAAATATTTAGGATGCTTTAAAGGCATTTAAGGTTTTATCCCACTAAAAAAAATTATTGGTTTCACTTCTATGTATAACTGCTTAATTATTTTTTCTCATGATACTCAATTGAATACTCAATTGAAGTATTACAGAACAGTTATTTTGAAAAACTACTGGAATATTTTTCCCTAACTAGTATTTCCAAATCTTTTCAAGTCTGAGCTTATTATGCAAATAATAAGTTTATCAAGTTCTTTGGCAGATCTCTTGGTGTGCAGTTGGAAAGGATGAGATTCCAGGTTTCTTATCTATACAACTGGCATTTTAATAGGAACAGAAAAGCCTGGAAGCTTGACTTCAAAACTTGCGGCTCTTTGCCAGCCTCATGCCACAGTCAAAGTCTTGAGGACAGACCATTAAGACTTCTGTTCCAAAGTCAGTAACCTAAGAGTTTCAAAGACAGTTGTCCAAGAAAGAGAAGCTCTACTTCTAGACAGGTGGCACATCCATATATAAAGTATGAATAAAATGAAACCAAATATATCCAATCCTCTGCAAAGTGGAATGACATTTTTTCCATCCAGGTCTATAATACTCCAACCTCACTGCAACCAATAATGCATTTGTAGAGTTGTTGAATGGCAGACTGTCTTCATCAGCAACATGGAAAATGGTGATGACATCACTTTAGAACTGATTAGGTGTTGAATAGCATGGCAAGGCCCATGGAAAGGTACTGAAGTGCTTAGTGAATGGAATTTTTTGATTGTTGCACTGTGAGACAACTGTCAAGGCTAGTGCAGGGATACCTGCTGCAATACACCATGGCTGTTCAGCATGCATTCTCCAGTAAGACTGGTCATTTTAAAGGTCACTTGTAATGTTCTATGAGGAGGGAATAAAAACGAATAATAACAGGTATAAATAAAGCTGGACACATGTAACTAATGATGGTATATCTCCTAACCAGGCAACTAGAAAACAAACATAATGGACAGCTGGCTTGTCACTTACTTAGGTTGTTCAAGTTGGCGATTCTGTCAATGCAGTTTGTAGACAGTGATAGTTTCCTTTAAAAGAAAGAATAATTGATTCACAGTGTATAAGGGATCACTGCATTGGAAGAGTTCCATGTCCCAACACCACTGCATTAAAAATAATTATATGTTCTTGTCTCATTAGATGGTAAACTAACTGTATGCCTAACAGACTCAAAATATCCTCATACCATTAAGATTTCTTCAACTTTATGTAGCTTTGGGAAAGTACCATGAGTTACTTACATGAAATACTGGATTATCTTTTGATGCCTAACCTTATAAAATGCATGGATATTTATTTCTGAAATGACTCTAATCTCCTTCTGAAAGTCTGTTCAAATTGCCTCTTCTTTCCCATGAATTTTGGAGTGGATCATAAACATGCCATTTAGCCGATAGACTCCAAACACAAATCTGTAATTATATACTGATAAACAGTATATAATTTTCTAGGGACAAATATTAATACAGAATCTACCCTAACAGCTTCTGAGTTAAGTTACAGGGGTCTTTGAATTACAAAGGGCAATTGTGTACAGAAAGAGAAGCTTGGTTAAGGAAAAAAGAAGAGAAAGTTGCTGCTTTGAAGGCACACAAACACAGTAAACACATATTTGCAGTGGACAGCAGAAAAACTGAAATGAAAAAAGGAGAATATTTTGTTTCCAACATGTTTTTAATTGAACTTACTCGCAGTTAACAAGTGCGGAGAGAGCGCTATCCATCTTTTCCACAGGAGGAACCTGCCCGTACAGTTTCACTTCTTTTGCCTCTGAAGCCTTCTGGCCACTTTTCTCTTCCTAAAGAAAAGACAAGGTGAGGAAGAGACTCACTGCTACATGCAATTACCAAAAACTACTACACTAAAAGAATTACTCTAAAAGTGAATACTATAGAAGGAATTCCAATATACTACCGGAAAGAGAAAGTATTTTGAGTGCTGTTATTAAGATTCCTGCTAGTGTGGTATAAAAAGGGTAAAGCTAGCTTATTTTCAAGATATCAAAATAACATACATTACATATGCTGTTTTTTAAAAGTTGTGTAACACTTCAGCAATTCAGTAAAGGAGTCATCTGCCAAAAAGAATGGAAAATAGATGGAAGGCTAAAATTCTGGATTAAGGTATTTCCATGGAGACTGACATATATCCATAAACCTCAACTAGGGCCAGTCTAGAGCAGAAGCAGATTTAAAAGTTCTGACAGAAAAGTCTCCTTCTCACTTCACCCAGAAATCTCAGAACTCATTCTCAGCTCACAGCACAAACTGAACACAGGGGAGTATGTTCTGGGGGAGAATCAACAGATTCATAGCATTAGGAATAAAAGAAAAAAATCTAATTAGCCATTAAAAAAGAGTGAGGGAAGATGTCACGCTTTAGAGAATATAGCAAAAGACAGATTTCCCATTTACAACCTAGGCTGATAATTCAGAGCCTTGGAAAAATGGACACAACTTTGGCATTTAGGTTTATTAAAAAATATGGTCAATTAAAGCTTTTAAAATTCTGAAGTGATGTCAGTTATTGACTAAACACTTGGAACAAGTATCTGTTTAGAGAGTAGGAGCAGTTTTGACAGCTGCCTCCCTGACAGCACAAAGGGAGCATTTTGTCAGTTCACTCAGTGTTCGGTGCAAGAACTGGAAGTCCATTAACAATGGAGAAATCTTGGGTGCTTTCAAAACAAGGAGTTCTATTTCCTCCTCCATTTCATGCATCTACTGAAAAGAGTAGTGTGTACTGAAAAGCTGAGTGTGCCACAGTTGATATGGCTACTTTGTAATTAAATTAATCATATGCCATAAGTCTTTTAGTATCCCACAGAGGAACATCAGGTTTTGATAACATTGTTTTTCCTCTTATGCATCCAAAATACTTCAGAAAACTTAATTTTTAAAAAATCATGTTGTCTTGTACATTTATTTATATTCCAGTTTCCGTCCAAATTCAGTGTGACAGTGTTTTTACTAAAAATTAGTGATTTAGCAAATAAGCACATCAGATGTTTTGCTGGAATATGGTGATACATGTTCAAACAAAGTAATTATATCAATGTGAAACTTCCATTTTCTTTTCTAACAACAGTACTGTATCTGTTTGTATTTACACTCAGTTTGTAATCTATGATCTTATACCAACAAAATACATTTTTCCTTAAAAACATGGAAGGGAGAGAGCTTCCAACACAGACTAGGCCAGCAGTGAGCACCTTCAGGAAGAAAATTCATCCAGACTGCCAAGTACTTCTGGAAGCAGCTGCACAGCCACAATATCCCACAGAGAAAATATAGGTACAACAGACATGTTTTTATAAGAACAGGTAACATGTTTGCCAAGTTGAAGCTGCTTTGATTTCAAGTTGCTTTGATTTAACTAATGTCACCCTGGCTGTAGGGCAGAGGGGAGAAAAACACTCAGAATGCAACACAACACCAAATGCAATTGTACAAGTCACATAGACCCAGATTAGGAAGAATAAAAGGAACATTTAGACCAACCCCTAATAACTTGGAACAGAAAAACAAATGCAGCACTTTATGCCTAACATAAATGGAAACTCACTGACACAGGCTGATTCTGTCTAAGAGACATGTGACAGAGGAGCAAATGAAAAATAAATCTGTTAATAGGAAACATGGAGCTGAAGTTCTGGAAGGCAAAAAGAGTGAGGGAGGAAAAACAAACTTTTTTAATATCCTTGAGCATCCTACATCATCATTTCACATTATATCCACATCCTTGCCAACACAAGACCTTGACCTGGTCTTCCAGCTTTCTGGAAGACCAGGTCAGCCACAACCAGACAAATAAGCTTCTGTATTAACAGAGTACTTTAAGAAGAAAAAAACCAAGAACCTCGTTCCAAGTTAAGCTTTGCACAATATGAGGGACCATATGTCAAAAGACATGTAAAAGATTCACTGAATTCAGTGAATTCAGTACAGTGAGAATTTCATGCTTGTTTATTCTGTGGGAAAGACTGCACTTGGGTAAAGTGAACAGAGCATATTTAAAACATAATACATCCCCAACTTTGAAACTCTTTGTGGCTTCAGGACAATGCATATGCAACAGAACAAGGCAGGAGGGCAAAACAGACTAATCTATACCAGTTGTATCAATTTAACAGGAACATACAGAAAATGTGACAGAATGTACTATACAACAACAGTAATCATAATTTTACTTTGTGAAACTTCTTAAAGCAGATGTTTCAAGCAAACATATTTCTCATAATGTTTTAAAAACAATATTAGCTGAATACAGTCAAACCTTACGCTGCTAGACACTGTTCTAGTACTTACCCATCTGGCTAGAGCTTCTTTGATGGTTGTTGCTTTTGCCTAAAAGTGAAACAAACTTAAGTGAATGAATATTCATTGAATTTTTAAAGTGGCTCATTCACTGCAAATCTTTTTCTTCTTCCTTCCCTCTCCATATCCTGCTTGTTTGCCTCCCTTCCACCACTTGGGTCAGCCAAATCAAAGGAGTTGAAACCCTTCAGTGTCCTGTAATTTTGTTTTCTGGGTTACTTTGCTGTATTTTCGGAAGAAAACAATAGGCTTAATGTCAGGACATTATCTTCTTGATCTCATTCTCTGCCCCATGGCACACTGCTTATTAGCTTTTATGGTGAAATTCAATCTAAAGGCATAAGAAGTTACTGCGTTGAAAATTGCAGTCTAATGCTCTTAAGCCCTCACACTTTCTATTGTGCATTAGCAACTTCCTGCCTCAAAGCAAGTCTGTGACCAGAAAATGATACAGCCTCCTAAAATTCACTGAAGAAAATGAGGTACATCTTGCCAAAACTCAAGAACAATCTAGATTATATATATTTGGAATTTCTTTCCAATTGTTTTGCATTGAGTTACACCATGCAATGTGAAAACATCTATTATTTGGTTTGGAAAAACCTGAGAGATGCTTTTTAAGGACTGACTCACTGACCAACTTTCTGTAGTCTCTAACTCTTACTTTTCTACCTCACATCAGAGTCTTAATGAAACCACATAAAGATATCCAAAACAGTAGTATATAAACAACATGTTTAATGTTTCTCTAAACATTAAACATATTCCAAGATGTCTTTGGGATTAAAAAGGTTTCAGAGATCAAGCTTTTACAAACAGTGATCAACAGCCTTCTTTCTACAAATACAGGAAGACTGTAGTTTTGGCATCGCTGTTGCTCTTAAGGGTAGCAAGGTGTGCATTAAAAGCACCCTTTCAGGTAATCAGATATATAACCCCTTCATACATTGTAGAAGTTAAAAGCAACAAACTAACTTCCTCCAAAAATCTTACAGGCAGCCACCTCAAGTCACAGAGTTTTAGTGTTGGGTACTTTACTTTGGACAACAGGAAACTCTGGTCCCAGCAATTTATAAGGCAACAGCTGAGACAGCTTTATATAAGAAAAGGCCACAGCCACCGAACACCCAGCAACACCAGGGAGCCTGAGCATGCACCTCAAACATCAACATGCACCTCCATTTAGACATCCCCAGATGTTCCAGCTGTTTCTGCCCACTGACAGGCATTCATTTCAATCTGGTCTATACCAAGTAATAGCTAGCTCTAAGTCTCATTGGAGATGACCTGCAAACTTGACCCCCAGTGGCAGCTCCCCAGTGTCTGCCAGAGATTAACATCTGCATAACCTCCTCTGGGTCATGCATCCCTAAGTTTCAACTACAACAGCCTCATTCAAGTCAATTAACAGTTACCAGTGTGCAGACAAAAACAGCTGGCTTCAAGTTAATTGGGGTTTTTTGGGCAGAAATTTCATTGTCTTTTGCATAATTATAGCAGCCAATCACCATGGCATTTGGGTACATGATCTCAGTCACTCATGTTGAAGGCAGAAATGCATTTATAAGATCAGTGGCTGCTGCTGTTTCAAAGGCATGCCTAAAAACAGTTTGGACTTTAAAGCTACTGATCCATGGGAGCACAAGGAGAAGCTTCTTCCCTGACCTCTGTAGACTTATCTCTGCTGATTGGATGAAAACATGGACATCAGCACAGCAAGTTATCTGGTGAGCACATATTAGGGATTTCATTTTCTTTGAGGTGCACTTGAAATTTCTGTAGGTAAATCAGAGTATCTTCTGCCATGGGAGGGTATTTGAGGGAAACTTCCTCCAAAAAGCTTATCTGCAGGGTTCTTCTACCTGCTTATTGAACAATTTTCTACAGGTATTTAGTCAAAAGAAAGTCATAATACTTCATTTTAAAATATTCAAAATGCCAAGTGAACAGTGGTCACTCTGAAGAGTCACCATTAACATGGTAGAAACAAGAAACAGAATTTCCGAAGGGGAAAAATAACCACTCCTGTACTAGTAATAGTTGTAAAAAAATATATGTATGTCCCCCCGTAAAACATAGAGGGTGGACACATAGTATGCACAAAATTTAGACCCCCGGAAAAAAGCAAAACAGCGACACTTCGCCTTTATTTGTAGACATTTATTTGTATTTTAAATAGATGAAATCGGAATTGCACAGCAACAGACAGCAAGCTAATCGCTGTATGATCACCGATACTGCCACCTTAAAACCACGTACTACGGAGGTTTGCGGTTTGTGACTCCGCTCTTTCCTTTCCCGGGGCACGGCAGCAGGCCACCGGCCCCCGCCTCAGCCGCCGCCCCGGCCCGCGCTGCTCCCGGGCGCTCCCGCCGAGCCCGGGCTGCTCCGCGCCGCCCCTCGCCGCCACCGCCGGCCGGGGGCCGCTCCGAGCCCCGCTCCGAGCCACGCTCCGAGCCACGCTCCGAGCCCCGGCGCCGCCCGGCCGCAGGACTCACCATGGCGCCGTGGATACCGCGAACGCTCCGGTTGCTACGGGCGCGGGCAGCGCCCCGCCCGGAACTCGCGCGCGGCGGCCGCGGCGCCTTGTGGGAGCGGCGGCGGCGCCCGGCGCGGCCCCGGCGCGGCCCCGGCCCCGGCGCGGCCCCGGCGCGGCGCGGCCCCGGCCCCGGCGCGGCCCCGGCCCCGGCGCGGCCCCGGCGCGGCGCGGCGCGGCCCCGGCCCCGGCGCGGCGCGGCCCCGGGCGCGGCGCGGCCCCGGCGCGGCGCGGCCCCGGGCGCGGCCCGCGCTGCGAGCCGCCGGCAGCGGACACGGCCCCAGTGCGGCCAGCCCCCGAGCACCCGTCTCAATGGAAAGTGATGGGCGTTTGGCCTGGCAAAAAATTACCGTGGCGGGTTCCGGGCTCCTCAGTACAAGAGGAGCTACTGGAGAGGAGCCAGTGAGAGACGCAAAGATGATGAGGGGTCTGGAGCCTCTCTCTTGTGAGGCTGTGGGACCTTGGCCGGTTTCGTCTATAGAAGAGGAGAGCTCACCCATAGATACAAGTATCTCAAAGGTGGGTGCCAAGAGGATGGTGCCAGGCTCTTTCCAGGGGTGCCCAGTGACAGGACACGGAAGAACGGCCTTAAGCTGAAACACGAGAAGTTCCACCTCAACGTGAAAAAGAACCACTTTACACTGAGGGTAGCAGAGCACTGGAATAGGCTGCCCAAAGAGGCCATGAAGTCTTCCTCTGGAGACAGTCCAAATCCATTTGGACACATTCCTGTGTAACTGGCTCTAGGTGACCCTGCCTTAGCAGGAGAATTGGACTAGGTGATCTCCAGAGGTCTCTTCAAACCCTAACAATTCTGTGAATGTAAACCAATATAAATAACGTGGCTGTAAGGCCATAATCAGGCACTCAGTTTAATATACACTGCAGGAAATAGCTACACATTCTGCAGAGTGCCTGCAATGCCTCTTGGGTCCCCAGGCAGCATTGTAAATATACAAAATGCTAGCACAAATGTTGTCTGGTTTTCAACAGGTCCTTCTATTAATTATTTTGTCCAGGAAACCCTGACTCATTGACAAAAAAGCTCTGTGCAGTAAAATTACATTGTTTTTAATTTTTCCTCCTTTTAAAACAAAAGTATCATTTACTTCTCCAAACAAATACATAACATCAAATTCTTACACATGGTTGCTTTTTAATAAAGAAAGTTTTACTTCTCTTTCAAATTGCATGTATTTGACAAAATCTAACACTAAATTATTTTAAAAACTTGTGCTTTAGAAATTAAGTCTGCAAACTCTTAGTTTACCTGTTTGGGGTTTTTTTAATTTACAAATTAACATTTACTTCCTGAACCTCCAAATTGCAATCTTGCATAGCAATGCATATGCTGAGGTAGGACTGCAGTGTGGAGCACAGGTATTGGCACTGGGAGAGTGACAGAACAGGGATAGGGGAGGTGCTGCTCTTGCACAATTAATAACAGCTCCAGCTACTGAAGAGACACAGGATGAGGCAGGAACCTTCACACAACAGACAACCCTTTCTCCTACAGTTGCCACTTGAAATGAGTTTGGAGAAAAAGGCAGTCTGACAGGTATGGGTGACACCAAGGAGCACATTGCAGCAGGTTCTGGTCCTGGACTTCTGAGGCTGCTTGTGTTAGCAGAGGTTCAGGCACCAGATATGACTTGGCAAAAGCCTATTCAGCTGGTGAGGGAGTTTAGAGACCAGGCATGAAGAGATCTTTTGTGGAGTTTGCAGGATGGAGCTTCTCTTGTAAGGAATGGATGGATAAATTGTTCAGTTGGCCTTGACTGTGTGTGAAAAACATGTGACTTTAATAAAATTATAAGGATTAATAAGAGTTGCAGAAAGCTATTGAGACTGAACAGCAGCATAACGACAGTTAACTGGAGAGAGATCCCTGAGAGCAAAACAAAACTGAGTACCACTAATGAAAGTTTTGTATCTTCCTGGGCAGCTTCCTGGTCTGACAAAATGACTCTGGAAGGTGAAATTTTGCTAACAGAGACCCTCTTTAAACAGGCCTTCCGCACTGGCACTATTTCAGCAAGACCCTCTTGAGAGATCAGCTCATTTGGGAAGAAGTTGTTTCTTTCTACCTGAATGGTGAGGGGGAAAAAGGCACTAGCCAAAAATGAATTTGGATTTAAAAAAAAAAAAATCTCAGGTAGTCATAGAAAAGCTATCCTAGATTTGGCTTTGGGTGATTGATTGGAGTGCATTGTTAGTTTGGTATGATTCTGAGTTAATCACCACCATAAGGTGACAGCTTTTTATAGTCAGTTTAAATCTACAGGCTAGGTTTTCTGTCTCCCAACTCTGCTTTCTCCCTAAGAACAGTTTTCAGCATCTGTTGACATCACTACTAAAGAGTTCCCCAAGTAATTAATCCCTAACTTAATGGCTGTATTTAGACATGCTCTAACCTATTCAACAGAATCTTAATACCCTGAGTGTCAAATGGCAATCCAAGACATTACAGAATCAGACAGGTACATCCCAAATACAAAACAGTGCTAGTACTGCTTTCTTCTTGGATGACAAGGAAAAGTACTCTTCATTCTTCCATTCAGCAGACAGTTATTTTTGGAAAGAAACAGACTGTCACCAGAAGACCACAGTAAGTATACAAGCCTCATTTCAAGTAGGTATCTCCAGCTTTGTGTAAATGGAAAACATTTCTGAAGTGTATATGGCTGTAAATATGAGAATTCTGGGGAAAGCTAGCTTAGGACTCAGAGTCATTAATTATTTGGATGTCTACGTTATCATCTGGCATTGCCGAGGTGTGATCCTGTCTGTCACTGCTGAGGGTGCAGGCTGCCTGTTAACATTCTATGAGGTGTAAATACTGCAAGCAAGGAAGTACCTAGTACTCTCTTCAGGTACTTGTTTCTTCATCATGACCACTTTGAGCTGTCAAATTTGTACCACAGTGCAGCCTGCTTGTTGTTTCACATCTCCTCTCTTTACCTAATTAAATTAACTTAGGCTGCTCCAAATAAATCCCTTTCTTTTTAGATTTTTACTTGTAACTAACTAGTCATTTGGTTATTTCCATATTTCAAGGCTTGTCTCAGTCAATCCCTTCAATTCACTGGTCATCACCAGTCATTTTGGTGGCTCAAGTTCAGTCCTTGCAGATCTGCAACAGCTTGCATGTACTTAAGTGTTCATCCCAAATGCAAGTGCAGAAACTCCTGGATCTTTCCCCAGGAGTGTTCCTGTGCATGGGCATGTGCTTTGCTCTCTCCACCTCCCAGAACAGGCACTCCCAAAACACGATCCATAGCTACCTGACAAAATGGAGTAGAAGGAGGATCAATTCGGTGACCTGCTCCCGGATAACTCAGGAATTCAAAGTTTTCTTTCCCATGCTGGCGAAGACGCCTGATTGCCAGCTCAGCATATAAGGAGCTCTTCCACATCCGATCATCCTCCCCTACCACTAAGAGAAAGTGACCATCTGCTTTTTCAATGGGGATCATGCTAGGAGAATTAGCAGGATTCATTGGGTCATCCAGAGCTTCAAAAATGTCAAATACACCAGAGTCAGAGACACTGACTTTCTTCATATCAAAACGCAGCCCAGGCAGAGTCGTCTCACCATAATGGAGGTCTGCAACTGTATTTGAACTACAGCCAGAGATTGAGACAGCAGCCACTACTTCTGGCAGGAAGGTGATCATGGAGAGTGCTAATTCTGCCCCTTTCCCAGTCCCAATCACTCCAACTCCTGGTCCTTTCACCTTCAGATAAGATAGGGGATGGAGAAGAGAGGAAGAAAGGAATAAAGGAAGCATACATTATAATGGGATTAGCCATTAATTGACTTTGGAGTTGTTTTATTAAAAAAAAGGTTAGGTTAATTATTGATGTAACCTGTTGGAAAGTGACAGTCTGGACCCATGCTCCTCCTCCTGTTTATGGTCTTATTTTTCAGACACACCAAGAGAGATCAAACCCCACAAAAAATGTAGACATGCACAAGGCATACTATCGCTCAGTCCTTACCTGGTCCCTACTGTATATGTTAATGCAAATTTTTTCTCATTTTCCTAAAACAGGTAACAGGAAATTCAAGTCTCAGAAAAATAAAGTAACCTCACAAATTATATTTGAAGGATTTAATAAGTAACATTTGTCTTGTCTTTTCCTAGCCTGGAAAGTAAAATTGAAAGCAACATCCTACATTATCAAATTCATTCTTTCAGCTACTACTGAGCAGTGTCATATCATCCTCTATTAAAACTAATTGCTTTCATGTAAGGAAAAAACCCAAACAAGCCAAACATTTTTATCACCACTGGTCGTGTTTGGAGGATACTCCAGCATTCACTATCCTACTGATCAGCAATCTTGTAGCTCCAGCATGAATTTAACAGATAGTTTGTGCTGGAAGAAATTCACTCTTCCCAGTCATATGCATAAGCTGTTATTGGGCCTGAGCTTGCCCAGCAGAAACTGATACTCAAATACAAAAAAAAAAAAATTCACAACTACCACCACTTAGGCATAACTGTTAAATCCTCTCTAGTCTCAAGAGGTTTCTCACTGCACTCACCTTTGGGTGACGCTGTAGGAACCTTGCTGCCTCCTCAAAGTACTCAAGTTTTAATTCTTTTAACACCCTAGGAAGATCTTCAAAGTCAAAATATGGCAGAGAAAGAGCAGCAAAACCATGGGTAGCCAGGAGACTGGATCTAAATTCAATCAAGCCTCCTTCATCCCCATACATGTCAATCACTCCTGGAAAGGGACCGTCCCCTATATTAAAGAGAAGAGTTACAGAGGAAAAGTTATCATACAGGACACAAAAAACTATCTGGTGAAGAGTGAACAACAAAATACAGAATGCTTAGGACATTTGCTATTAATAGTCATCTAAGACATTAGCTATTAATAGTAATTATTTTTCCATTTGCACAGTAGAGATTTAAGAGAACCAGTGCTGTATCCCACTCCAGCTATTTCAAACAAAGAATAGGTCCAAGTCCTTACATTCCTGTAAAAATATATGAAGTTACAGGTTTAGCTTTTTAAAACAAAAAATTTAAAAACCAACAAAAAACCCAAAGAAAACAAACAAACCCCCCAAAAAATAACAACAACCATTCTAAATGTATTTTTCCATGGTCTTAACCTCCTGCCCTCAGACCAATCATACACCAAGTCAGCTATTTTCCCACAAAATTGCTTCTTAATTAGCAAAGTACAAGCTCATGAGTAATGAGGCAAGAACACTGAGCCCTTGAAGTAAATTCTAGAAAACTTATGTAAACTCTGGAATAAACTGCATTGAGCAAAACCCAACAAAGACAACCCATTGTTAAAATCAACTGGACTTACTACCTCTCAACATGAGCACTGTAAGCTTTGGCAGGAGAACTGCTCCTGCAGAAGTGATGAGACAGAAGGCCGAACTGAGAGCTGTGTGGGTGTGTGCAGGACTGATGTACAGATAAATGTGCACATACATATATACCATCTGTCCCATCAAACTACAGAAATAATCAGAACCATAATTTTCAACAGCCATGCTTTTACCATCAAGGTCATGTTGTAAAATGTTTGTATGCCAAGCCAGGAGATCTTAGGTTAGAAGGCTAAAGATGCTACTTAATGGAGCTTTAAAGACCCCAAGCAAACAATTTTTTTTTCTTTTTTTTTTTCCCCTGGCCACCAGATGTCACAGCTGATGTGCCTTGATACAGCTCACTACAACCATCTCAGCACAAAGAGGACACGCATGTTGCAAGAGTATGTTAACTCTCTGACACTACCTCTATATGCTGAAGAAAACTTTTCTGGCATTTCAACACATTTGAGAAAAGGAAGTTTTGTATAAGACATGCTAAATGGTGGAAACCTCCCAGATTAAAACATTAAGAAGTCAGAACAGGACTGAAACATGCCTTTGGGTTCTTACTCATTCAGTTCTGATCTTTCTTTCATTGAAGTTCAATATTCTACTTGAGAGAAAATAGGTTGGGATAAACTTATTATAATGCTATGATATGGCAAGAAAATACATATTTAATAATCACTCCTACCTGAAAAGCTTTCTAGCAAGAGCATGTAATCAGAACATAGTCATAGATGGATGTGTTTCTCTCTCATGAAGACACCCTTTAACTTGCACAAGGATCCTGGACTGCTTCTCTGAGTGCTTACACATGCCCAAGTATATGGTTCCTGCAGAACTCACTAAAAAGCAGGATAAAGTGGGCTAGACAACTTTACCAACATTTAAAAACAAACCTCTACATCTGTAACTCTTATTCCTGAATTGAGAAATAATTTTCAGATTAAAATTACATCATAAGACCACTCATGTCCTCTCACTTTTAATAAGAAAGGTTGACATTTAAGATTCCTATCTTAAAAATATTAACTTTTTTTTTGTCCCTGGAGCAAAGAAGTGTATGATCATAATGCTGTAACTGGATCCTCCATCATGATGGATGTCAATATAATTTAAGCAATGATTCCAGACTTTTCAACACTATTACAATGCCAGACTTTCTAAAGGAGAAAGTGCAGTTTCATCTTGCATATGTCTGGGTTCCCACTGAGCTCAGCAGAAATCAAACTCATCCTCTAAGGCAGAATAGATCAAAACAATGTCTTGGAGATGGAAAATCCAGCATGCTGACTAAACATCTGAAATTCAAAGTTCATTCTCTGTTGTTTTTTTCCTCAGTGGACTTTGGATCCATATCTAAATGGATAAAATTCATTGGTTTGGAATGAAAAAACTTAAATACTTAATAACTGTAGTGATACTTACAGGAATTGCTGAACCAAGTAGTATTAAATTAGAGGTAATGTGGAGGGCAGTTCCAGTACCCACAACACTCAGGGAACTACAAGAAGTTTAACTCATAGCTCAAGTGTACAAACACAATCACTGGTGTAAGGTTTCATTTTCCATCACCACTCACAGACCATCAGAATATCACACCTCATAAAGCACAACCATCTCATAAGCAGAACAGGCAGAACTTGCTCATAAATCTATTTTGGTTTTATACAAAGTAACCCAACTACTAACTGTAATCACTCTGTAGAAACAGAGATGAGATACATGCATTTTTTAGAATTTCATCTGCTACTCTGCTTCCTGGCTTGTGTTTCAAAGGGAAGAAAAATACCTTTTCAATTCAGTCCTACTTAGGGTAAAATCCTTGGGACATTCAGTACAGGCTCACGCAATGAAGCGCATCAGCTTTTCTGGATGTTAGATTCCGGTACTCCAGAGCAAACATCAAACCTACTGAAAAACCACAGGCCAAGCACAGCAACGAAGTAAACTCTTTAAGCCCTGTTCTCCTTTAGCTCCGGCCCGTCCCGCAAGAGCCGCGTCCCCGTGCCCGCCCTGCTCGGTGCCGCCGAGGACCAGGCGGGGCGGCCGCCCACAAGCCCGGCCCTGTCGCGACAAGCACTTGGGATATCTTCTGAAGAGTTCAGGGCAACTGGTCTGCAGGGCAGCGCTCGGCTGTTAGGGAATGCAGATTCCCCGGGTGACAGCCTCTGCACGGGTTTATTTCACGAGACTTTCCTTGCTCTGGTCAGAGAAGGCGGGGGGTCCCGCCGGCCTCGGGACGAAGGTCTCGGGCCGAGGCACTCACCCGGCGGCAGGAAAAGGGAGCCCCTTACGACTCCTTCCTTCAGCCGGATCCTCCGCACGCCGGGGGCCGTGAACAACCTCTGCACCTCGGCCTTGGCTACCACGGGCCCGGGCATGGAGCCGGGCGGGCTGTGGCCCTCGTGGACGAACACCTCCACCTTCATCGGGAGGCTGGTGTTGCGGGGAACGAGCCGCTGGTACGGCTTCTCCATGCCGGCGGGGGCCAGGCTCCAAAAGAGCCCCATGGGCTCCACGCCGGTGTAGTCCCCGCCGTGGGAGGCGTCCGTGCCCAGGTGCAGCTCCCCGCGGCTGTCCGCCCGGTAGTGCGCGCACGACTGGAAGAGGCAGCCGCGGTCGTCGGCCGCCACGGCCCGCAGGGTCACCGGCTGCCCCGGGCTCAGCCCCGCCACCCGCGTCTCTACCCGCTCGTCCGCCGGGCCGGCGGTGGGGGACACGGCCAGGCTAGCAGCCCGCCGGGCCGGCGGGGCGCGCAGCAGGGCCCGTGCCGGGGCGGCGGCGGCGGCCAGCGCTCTCCACATGGCGGCGGCGGCGGGTGCGCGCTGCGGCCGCGCCGCCCGCAATATCGGTCCCGCGGCCGCCGCCCCTTCCAGGCGTCCCCAATAGAGAGCAGAGCCCCTCCCCGCCCCCCAGCCCCGGAGGCAGCCAGCGGCGGGCCGCTCCCGCCTCCCCCAAGCCATCCAAGCGACTGGAGCAGCGAGCCGTGGGCAGCGGTTAAAGTTTCACTTTTATCCATTACAGTACGGTGGATACAAAACGCTCAAACGGGCCTGACGCACAGGCGAGGTCGGGCTGTAGGCACTGGCGGGTACAACGTGTTCGGACACACAGTGCAAATGCACCGGCAACTCCCAGCGTTTGCTCCTTGAACCCCACGCTTGGGTGCACAGTTACTGCCGACCCCGCGGGGCTGAGCGCTCGCCCCGCTGCGCAGAGAGCAGCGGGCGTGCGGCCGGAGCCCCGCTCCGCCACAGCGGGCCGGCCGCCTCGGGCCCCTTCCAGCCGCTCACGGAGCCGCCGTGCCAGCGCCGCCGCCCTAGCAGCAGGCAGCTGAGACGGCATCTGCGGAATGTACCGGCAGGGAGCTCCGACAGTGCTGCGGATCTCCACAGCGATTCCCAGCCGTGCTGAGGTGACACCCGGGAGCGACTCCAGCATGACCCCTAACAGGACCTGTTCTGTTGCTTCTTCACGTTTATGAACTTCCACAGACTGTTTAAATGTCTCATTTCTTCAGCATGCTCTCTGAACATCACATCAAGCTTGGGCTGTTTGTTGCCTACAAATATGAAGTGTTACCTGAGGGTGCTGGCACAGTAGTACTGCTTTTGGTAAGTGAAATATAAGATATTTTTAAGGCAGATGCATTTTAGTGGTTTGAGAGAAGGGCAAGGAGCAACAAAGGAGAGAGAAGTGTACAGGGAGAACAGAAAGATCACTAGAGGTAGATTACTGCTTCCAGAAAAACTGGAATACTGGAACTAGAACACAAAGCTGGGCAATGGCACACATCTCCTCTGAGAAGGCCAATGCATGTTTTCATCCTGGTTCTCAGCTTGGAAGAGTTACCTACCACTTTAATTCACACCCAAAGCACACAGCCTTACCACCATTTGTTTTCCACAGCTTATAACCCTGTACTACATAAAACAGGAGGCCAAAACCTCTAACCAAGATTAGAGGAGGGTGTAAAAAGGAAGCTGCTCTTGCTTTCACCCACCATCATCTTTCAAGAAACCTAATAGCTTATTCTCTGATGTTCCTTGTTGTGGCGAGGGCTGGTCCTGGATGGATGAGAGATCTCTGAAGTCAAGTCTTAGGATATATGGTTTGCTGTGGGGCCCTGCTTGGACCTGCCAGCTGCAGCTCCAAGCAGAGCCCAAGGAGTGGGAGCAGGGAGAGATAGCGAGAGAGAGTTCCAAGAGAGGGTCCAAGAGGGCAAAGAGAAAGGGTGGGAGAGAGAGCCCTGGTCTCCTGGGTACACCTTATCAAGGGGGCTTCAGAGTGGGTGTGGAATAACACTTTGGACCAATGGAATTACAGATACATGATACTTCAGGGGAGGTGCGGAATAAGCTATACATTTTTGAGGGAGGAGACAGAACATTTTATCTGACCCTTGGATCTGTCTGTGGGTCAAAAAAGGGAGTTACCTTCCACTAGCTATACCACTGTTCCCCAGTTGCTTCGCAACCAAGGACCGAAATCTCAAAGCTTGTTCTCATCTCAATTTCACTCACAGTCTCTGTATTTTCCAAATCCTTTGCCAGGCAATCATATTTATAAGGCTTTCTCATTTAATCTTTCCCTACACCTTGTTCTCATTCTGAGCCATTTAACAAAACATTTAACAAAACCAGCATCTTCATTTGTAAAGTAGCCTAATTCATATCAGAGCTTACTGGATGTTCCAGATGTCTTGCCTGTGAGGTGTTTACAAAAGAAAGCTTGGATCTGCTGCCAAGCATCTATCTGTGCCTCACAGTGTGCCTTGGGCTCCCCTCCCCACATCACAGGCTTGCCAAGTAGCAAGTGCATTGAGGCTGCACACATTGGGAAAAAGGGAGGTTCAATGTAGTGTCCTGCTCCGGGATAACAGACTATCTCAGGCTTTTCTTTCCCATGTGCTTGCAAACGTTTGCTCCCCTCAACTGCAAAGAATTCACTTTTCCAGTTGTGATCATCCTGGCCAACAATGAACAAGAAGCAACACTCAGCCTTCTCCAAAGGGATAAAGCTTTGCTGGTCAGGCCCTTCCAGTGGGCTGTTCAATGCATCAATAATATCAGCAATCCCGGACTTGCCGACCTGGATGCGTTTTGGATTGATACCAAGGGGTGGAATGATGATGTCCTTGTAGCGGAGCACCGCACCCACATTTGCCACCGAGCCATTGATAAGGGCAGTGGCTGTGATGCCCTTTAGGAAGGAGGCCATAGAGACACACAGGTCACCCCCCTTTGAGTGTCCAAGCAAACCAATTCCTGGACCTTTAACCTGGAGGTGAGAGAAGAGAGAAGAGAAATCACAATCAATGAACCATGGCAGGCCACTTCTTTAATATGATGCCATGTTTGCAGCTCTGTCTGTCCCAGATTTGGACCCCACATACAGACATCTGAGGTCCTGTGTGCAGGGCCCATGTCTGAGGGATCCTAGGCACTGTTCTGTGCTTGATTTATGGTGCTATGCCCTACTGAGACTGTGGCATCATCCTAACAAAGCTACAAGGTTGAGTGCTGAAGCAGAGTACAGCTGTGCTTGCAAACGTGCAGTCTCAGATTACAATGCAGTTGAGAGAAGAAGAGGGAAAGAACAGGGGAGGCCTCCTCTGCAGTTGCTTTCTTTCAGTGCAAAGTGCTCAAAGTCAGCAATGACTATGATATTGTCATCACTTGCGTTAATGTATTTCTTATATTCAAGGTTCCCCTATTAAGAAGCTGATGTGGGGTAGCAGGCTCCACATGAGCTGCACGTCCATTTCTCTAGAATGTTTGGTATCTAACTCACAGGAAATAGTCTGAGGTAGTTTAGTCATTAAAATTTATCTTAAAACTATAACCTATTAAAACCATTTTTCTAGGAGAATTGTACAGTCCCCTGGAGTCAATCTTAGACTAGGTTACCTTAATTTTCTTTTACACAAGGCAAATTAACTAGAAAAGGAAAGTTAAATAACCTTACTGGGTGCTGAAATCCTGTAAGGATACTGGAAAAAGGTTAGCTAATAACACAACTCTTCAATATCCAAAGACTCTCAGGGGCAAATAGGCTCTGAGACAGCATCAGAATCTAACACCTTCTGTGTCTTATCACCAGTCTAACAGGCTTCAAACCCACTGATTTTGAAATATGGGAAGGGGGAAATTAGAAAATATGGCTGAAACTTTGCAACACATTAAAAACACATGAAGGTGTTAATGGGAGGCAATGGTACTGTACTGCTCTCAAGGGGAAAAAATGCAGGGGGAAGCAATTTTCAGATTTTTTTGGGCAGAGAGGTGGCATGAGCAGTTAAGGTTAAGATGACTAAAAAGCAGTCAAGATCTTTAACAACTACTCATCTTTCTGAGGTTGAGGAAGGTTTTTATTATCATTCTCTAGAGAAACCAAGTGTTGGATTTTGCAATTCTAGCTACTTTCACTCACAGCTACTTATAAAGAGATGCAGAATTGAGTAGGGTTCTCTTCCAAGAGGTGCTGAATTAGAAGGATCCTTATGTGCACAATTAGCTACTAAAACCCACACTTATGAAATACCAACATTTTGAGTGATTTTAACAGTTTATAAAATACACAGCATCAAATGTGTATTGGTAGACTTCCTTGAGTTTCCTTGGTTTCCCTGAGACCTGGATCACAAAAAGCTATCATATGCTCCACAGCTGAAAAGGACATTTAGTTCTGAAGGACATTCTACAGAGCATAAATCTAAAATCCCCAGTGCAAGTCCAGTAAACCTCCAGGAAACTAGTACCCTAGTTATGACACTGGGTTGAATGGAGTAGAAATGTGACCAATGTGTCACTGTTTCACTTGGCCAGTTCAAAAGGAAGAGCTGGAATAGTCTGCCAGAGAGCCATTGTAGTGGGAGTTAAAGATATAAAACAATAACAGCCAACTCAACAGAGATGCTATTTTAAGTTCAACAGCTCTGCCCCAACTATAGTCTGACAGGAACCTAACTAATCCAAGTTCACTGTAGTGAGAGTCAATGAACAAACCAACCTGGGTGTGTTGTAACATATAGTTTACAGCTTCTTCAAAATATTCCAGGTGGAATTCCTTCATCGTTTTGGGGAGATCTTCATAGCTGTAGAAAGCCAGAGCCAGCACAGCAAAACCGTGGTTGGCCAGCAGGCATGCCCTGTATTCAGGGAGTCCTCCTCCAGTTCCATACAAGTCGATAATTCCTGGAAAGGGGCCACTTCCTGAGAGAGACCACATAACAGGACACATTAACCCACAATTTTTAATTTATATTCCAAATTCATAGGCCTGGAAATGTGTATTAAAAAAAACTACAGCAGCAGAATGGTATTGAGGGTCCTAAATTACTGTGACAGTTTTAATGAAATGGCTACATTGCTTCAAGATTAAACAAACTAGCACAAATTAGCAGGTCTACTAATTTTAGATAACATATTTTAGATAATATCAGGAAACAGGCAGCTGAGAGAGAAGGGATCTTTTGACAGTCATAATTAGTACTCTGTATCATGTAAATTCACTGCAAATGTATTAAGCTCTGCTTCAAAAATACCCATCAGGCTTCTCCTTAGTGCATTTTTCAGATGGCTGAACCAAAAAATGTGGGACTCAGATTCAGTTAAAGAAAGAAACTGAGAGTTTCTAGCCAGGCAGAAGCCTGAGAAAGAGCTGGAGAAGAATGTAAATAATTCTTTATCTCTCTTGTTTTTCACATTGTTTATAGTTAAGTTCTATCACTGTGCATCAAGCACTTTGCACCAATGCTGTGCGTTGTTTTCACTTCAGAACCAATGGAGTTGGTCCTCATGAAGCTCTGTATAAAAGAGCAGTGTATTTTGAATAAATCGGAGTTTTACTCTCACAGCCTTCTAGTCAGTCTTCTCATTCCTGCCCTGCCTCGACAATGACAAAAAAAATCTCATCTTCTGATGGTTCCAGCTTCTCAATTGTAACGTAAATGCACTTCAGTCATTTATTCTGGGATTAAAACAAGAAAGTATTTGAAACCAGCCTTACTTACCTGGTATGGGAAGCATTAAGTTAGGTTCATCATGGGACAGGGACTGAAGTCCAGAGCTGAGAAGGATTGCTGCAAAGTACTAACCAGGTATGGAAAGGAGGAGGCCAAGAGGGAGACTTCCATTCCTGCTCTGGAGAGAGGGTGAGGTTTCCCTCAGGTGTCTTCAGACTAACATCAAACGTGTGTAACAAGCAAGAACAAGAAATTCACCACCAGCCTCAAAGAAACAGATCAAGTCAGAGCCCAGGGCACTGGCTGGCACAGCACATATGATTTTAGCACTGTCATGAAAGAGTTATCTGGGACAGGCAGGAAAGAAAGGGGAGAGGGGAAGGCACGTGGTACATAGAAGAGCTCCTTGGGGTTCCAGGGACATGCTTGGTGAAAATCTGTGTATCACGAGGAGAAGGAAAGATAGGATGTGCTGGGGGTGTGGCTACTACAGAACCAAGGGAATGCAAGACATGAGGTTTCTACAGAAAACTAGAAGAAATCTCGACGGCTGATGGAAGGACAACACAGCATTTGTCAGGCAATCTGAAAACCTCACAGGCCCTTTTCATTATTCTCTGACAAAAATACTGCCAGGGCAAGTCTCCCCAATGTTTTCCTTAACATGCTCACAAGCAGGGAAGAATTGGGGACAAATGCGGCAGCAAAATGTAACTTGGGCTACAGCAATTAGGACATTACAAAGTTCAGGATGTGTGGAAAGGCTGGAAAGGGAAGCCACAGACTTAAACGCCACAGTTTAGGAAAGCATCTTCCACTTACTCAAAAGAATTACCACCTGATTTTCCTAGAAAACAGACAGATAGAGGAAAGGTGCCTTGCAAACTGTTTGACTTCACCTCCCATGACATTTGGGAACAAAAAGTGTACTGTGATCAATGCCTTCATGTCCAATAGAAGTCAGTTAAACAGACACACGTGCTTCTCTGTGTGAAGAGCAGGACCAGCAGACCCAAGCTGGTC